GCAGAGATTGCAGAGAGCCAAGACTGTGCCAATGCACTCCAGCCAAGACAACAGAGTAAAACTCCATCTCAAAAAAAAAGAAAATGTAAATGGACTCTATACTCCACCTAAAAGGCAGAGACTATTAGACTCGATTAAAAATAAACACCAATGAACCAACTATATGCTCTTTATAAAAGACGTGTTTTAAATATAAGAACACAAGTTGAAACTAAAGGGATTAAAAAAGACATTATACAAACACTAACCACATAACTTTGGGTAGTTATATTATACTAGACAAAACAAGAATTCCACTTTCAATAATGACAGAGTAGATTGTATTGGACCAACACTCCGACAGGTAACAATTACACTCTGGAAAAAATATTAAAAACAATAATCGGAAGGCAGTGGATAGCTACCAAAAGCAAGCAGAAACTGGAGAGTCAACATGTGGAAGAAAGATACAGCTCTGAGTAAACTTCCCACTTTTATGGCTTTTTCACTGAGGACAAATTTACAGCTGGAGTACTAAGAAAAACAGACAGAATTAAGCAGAGAAATAGACAAACCTACAATCATAGTGAAGGTTTTAATATTCCTTTCTCAGTAACTAGCAGAACAACCACAGGAAAAAAAATCAACTAGCAAATATATTAAAAAATCTGAAAACACTATAACCATTTTACCAAACTGACATTTATAAAACCTTACTTCCATTCCAGCAACTAGAGAATACACATGTAAGTGCACACCATATGTTCAATAAAAGTCACCCATATGCTGGGCCAAAACAAATCTCAATAAAATTTCCAAAAATTTAATTTCCAAAGTGTTTGCCATATAACCACATGGAATTAAATTATAAATCAATAATGATAATTATAATAGATATTACAGCAATTCTCAAACATTAATAAATATCAAAGTAGACTTTCAGGTAAAAACATTTTAGAGACTAAGAGGGAAATAATATTCAAAGGACCAGGCAACTTTCACAATTTTTAGAACTGATATCTGATGAACCCTCTAGTTCAAACTATAAATTATTAGGAAATACAGGAGAATGTGATTAATGACATCCTGAAAATACAATCAACAAAATGCAAATGATGGAATCCTCTTCAGAACAAATGATTATCTTTTTTCAACAAATATATAGCAAGGAAAAACACGAAAACTATTGATTAAATAAATTAAGAGACATGGCCATCTTTTGCCATATAGAACTTAAGCAGATCCTGATTCAGATAAACTGTAAAAAAAAAAAAAAAGAAAGAAAGAAAAAAAAAGATACTATAGGGAACTGTAGATACTTGACAGGATACTGAATATTAAAGATTTATTTAATAACAGTGTTGTGGTAGGTTTTTATAATGTATTTTAAGAGATACACCCTAAGATACTCATAGATAAAATGGGATGAAAAGATATGAGGTTAGGTATTTGCTTCAAAAATAATACAGGGATGGGGTAGCAAGTGGTTTGGTGGTTGATGAAACAATATTGGTCATGAGTCAATAACTGCACAAACTAGGTGGTGGATTTCACTAGAACTCATTCTGCATTCTCTCCACTGGTGTTTATGGATAAAATTCTCCATTACGAAAGTTTTTTTTTTTTTTTTTTTGAGACGGAGTCTCGCTCTGTCGCCCAGGCTGGAGTGCAGTGGCGCGATCTCTGCTCACTGCAAGCTCCGCCTCCCGGGTTCACGCCATTCTCCTGCCTCAGCCTCCAGAATAGCTGGGACTACAGGCGCCCGCCACCACGCCCGGCTAATTTCTTTTTGTATTTTTAGTAGAGGCGGGGTTTCACCTTGTTAGCCAGGATGGTCTCGATCTCCTGACCTCGTGATCCGCCCGCATCGGCCTCCCAAAGTGCTGGGATTACAGGCTTGAGCCACCGTGCCCGGCTACGAAAGTTTTTTTTAACAAATGAAAAGGCTTATCACCACAGTGCCATGAATTATTATATACGACATGAGTCATGAAAGGTGGCTTTGTTCCAAAAATATAAATAAATATATACAAGTATGTTTGTTCTACAAGTATATCTCAACACTGTTTCATCAACACTTGGCATTTGATGATTCTTTGGAAAAGAATTTGTTGAATGAATAAATAGGAGAAAACAGTTACTTCAAGGTTGTATGTTTACGTGTGTGTGCACGTGTGTGTAATTTCCCTGATTACTAATGACACTGAGTACTTTTTCATATGTTTTTAATATTTGGATTTCCTTTTGGGCAAAAAGGCTATGTATGTAACTAAGCAAAAAGCAATAGCAACTTAAAATATTTTTTCACGTGTGCTAGATAGATGCTACTGTCAATTATGTGGGTTGCAAATCTATTTTTTCTTACTCTGCACTTTTCTATTCTCTTAATGTTGTGTACCGATGGATTAAAGACACCTTACTTTTAATGTAGTCAATTAAATGTTTTCCATTTGAATTATTTTTTGTTTCGTGTTTTAGAAAATAATCTCTGCTCTTAGATCATGAAACAATGCCCTTATATTTATTTTTAAAGCTATATTACTTTGTTTTTTATATTTAGGACTATGAGTCATTTGAAATTCAGTTTTTGACTACGGTGTTACATAAGGGTCAAATTTTATTTTTTCTTCAGATGAATATCTACTTATCCCCTTATAATTAATTGAAAAAATTCATTTTTCTTAATACCTGCAATGTCCCCTTTCATAAATATGTCACCTTACATGTCTAAGTCTATTTTGAAGTACCATTCTGTTCTGGTCATGTTACTTTATCTTTGTGCCCATACCACACTGCTTTAGTAACTATAAAGTATAACACACCCTGCCACCTATTCTTCATTATGTACGACTGTCATGACTATTGTTACCCTTTGTAATCCATATACATTTTAGAATCACATTATAAATTTCTTTATAAAAGCTAATATGATTTTGAATCAGTTTGTATATAAATCCATTTGAGGAAAACTGGTATTTTGACACTATCGAATAATTCAATCACTAACAATTTGATCTTCATAATTATTTAGGTCTTTCTGAAAAATATTTTCTCATTTTACATTTAAAGTTTTACAGTTTTCTTCATAGAGGTTTCTACGCCTTTATATTTATTCCTAAGGACTCTTTATTTTTGATGTTATAATCTTTAAAAAATTTTATTTTCTCACTGGTTAATGTTGGAATATAGAAATACAGTTGGTTTTGTATATTGATTTTTGTATCCAATAACCATCCTAAGCACTTTTTAAATTTATAACTCATCAGTGGGCCACCTTGTATTTACTGCATATATAATAATACCATCTGTTAATACAAAGTTTTATTTCTTCCTTTGCAATCCTTATCCATTTTCCTTTTCTTATCTTAGTATACTGTCTTGAATCTCCACATAATGATGAACCAAAGTGGTAATAACAGGCATTCTTGTCTCATTTCTGATTTCAAAAAGGAAATTTTAAATATTTTACTTTAAGTATAATATTTGCTATACACTTTTTGTAGATATTCTTTTTGAAATTAAAGAAGTTCCCTTCCATTCTTACTTTATAACCAGTTTTTTTCATAAATGAATGCTGATTTTGGTTTGTCAGGTTTTTTCTTTCTAGTCATCTATGGAGATGGCTTTTCTACTTATTCTGATGATATGGTAAATGAATTTATTTTTTAATATTAAAACATGCATTCCTTAGATAGACCCCATTTGGTCATATTATATTTTCCTTTTTATTTATCACTTGATTCTCATAACATTTCCCCCCCTCAGGATATTTAAAACTATGTTCAAAAGTAAGCTTATCCTATACTTTTTCACTCTTGTATTATTCTTGCTGGGTTTTGGTATCAAGCTTGTGCTGGTCTCACATCACGAATTGGGAAATACACCCTCTTTTACTTTCTCTGGAGTAGTTTGTGTAAAAATGAAGTGTTTCTTCTTTAAATGTTTGTTAGAACTTGCCACTAAAACCAAATAGATCTATCATTTCTTTGGTGGAAAGCTTTAAATTGTGTATTCAATTTCTCTTATATTAACTCAATTTTTGATTTTTTTTTGGTATATGTTTCTTAAAGTTGTATCTTTCTAGGAATTTGTTAATTTCTCCAAAAACTGTCAAGTTTATTGGTAAAGTTGATCATAATGAACACTTACCTTTCAAAAAATGTATAAGCCATTTTGTCTTGTCCCAGAAACTTACTTTGCCTTCTCATTGAAAACCACAATCATAGAAATAGAAACAACTTCAAATAGCCCAGTAGGTTCAGCAATCGGTATTTAAAATTATCTAAGAAAGATGGCTGTCTGGAATTAAAGCACTCTAAAGCTGAAATCACTACTTCTTTCTTTGGTAGTTTGTTTCATTTCAAGTTCATTCATTTATTAAGCAAAGTTGCAAGATACAAAGATGAGAGTCCTTGCTGTCAAGATACTTGCTGCCTGTAGGAAGAGATGTTCTAATAAAGAAGCAAACATAATCTCATGAGATAAACACTACTCTGTGCATGATACAGACAAGGACAAGATGCCATGAAAACTGAGAGGAGAAGTATTCTTACTCTTCTTTTAGGATTGGACTTTCTGTGTTGGCAAGAATAGTTGAGCAGTAAAAGTTGAGGAAGCAGAGGGATGCAGAGATAACATCCCAAATGCATGTCTATGTCATACCTAGGACATATAGAGTGAATTAAGTGTATGTTGGGGTAGCATCAACAGCTTTTAAGTGATCTAATTTGCATTTTAGAAAGTTGGAAATAAGGAAAAATTTCAGGCACTCATAGATGTGTAACTTCAGTAATTTAGAATTAGCTAAAAGAAATATAATCCTACCTATTACCAACATGAAAACCTGTAATCTACGGAAGTTTAAAAATGAAAATTAAAAGGCTTGAGATAACAAGCTGCTTCTCCTAGATAAGTAACAGAGATAAGAGATAAGTAACTTGAGATAACAAGTCAGTTTCTCCTAGATAAGTAACAGAGATAAGAGAGAAAAGGAGTACAGTCAAACATTTCAGTTTCTATACCTATAACAGGATGGTCCATAGGGACATTCAGGCCGGTCATCAGTCTCATCTTGGTCCACGATTTGTACACCTCCATAATCACTATCACCAGGATGGCTAAAATGTTGAAAATGAACAGGATTCTTCCTAGGAGGGAGACAAATATACTGTCAGAAAAAATAAATAGGATATTCTAGATTTTTAGTGGATATAGCAATCCACATCTGACTATTCCTGAACATAAATCAACATGCTACATTGATGACATAAGCACAGATTACATCAACATGCTAAATTGATGACATAAAGTTGATGACATCAACTCAGTACAGGACTCTCACAGTAACATAATACATTTCTGGTGTCATGTGATAAGCCATGAATATCAATAGACAACTTGCAAACAGTACTATATATATGACACATATGTATGTAAGCATATAACATAAATATCATAAACATATATAGCTTTTCAAAACTTTTAATAAAATGAACACATATATTGTTCCCTCTGCTAAGATAAAAAACAGAACATTGGCCGGGGGCGGTGGCTCAAGCCTGTAATCCCAGCACTTTGGGAGGCCAAGATGGGCGGATCATGAGGTCAGGAGATCGAGACCACCCTGGTTAACACGGTGAAATCCTGTCTCTACTAAAAAAAAAAAATACAAAAAACTAGCCGGGCGTGGTGGTGGGCGCCTGTAGTCCCAGCTACACGGGAGGCTGAGGCAGGAGAATGGCGTAAACCTGGGAGGTGGAGCTTGCAGTGAGCTGAGATCCGGCCACTGCACCCCAGCCTGGGTGACAGAATAAGACTCCATCTCAAAAGAAAAAAAACAAAAAAAAAAACAGAACATTTCCAACATCCTAGAAAGGTCCCATGTGCCTTCTTCCAATCACTAAATCCATTTTAGTACCCAAAGGTAACTATCCTAACTTCTAAAAGTGTGTTTCAAACTTTTCAGTCTCAAGACTCCTTTATAAAAAAAAAAAAAAAAGATTAAAACTCCATAGAGCTTTTGTTTATATAGGATATTTACCCTATTAGAAATTATAAATGAGAAATTGAAAAAGTGCATTTATTGACTTAAATAGAACATAATAAACCCTTTACATACTATCATAACATGTCTTAACATAAATAATTATTAACTTCCAAGAAAAAATTCTTGTTTTATACTATGGAAATTTCTTTAATCTCTACTTTAGAGAAGGCATTTGGCTTCTCGTGCCTGCTTCTGCATTCAATCATTAACAACAACACATAACGTGTGGCCTCTGGGAAACTCCACTGTACACATGTGAGAGAGAGAATGACAGTAAAAAAAGGCATTCACAAAAAGTCACAATATTATTATGAAAATACTTTTGGGTTGGGTGTGGTGGCTCACACCTGTAATCCTAGCACTTTGGGAGGCTGAGGCGGGCAGATCACTTGAAGTCAGTAGTTCAAGACCAGCCTGCCCAGCATGGTGAAACCCATCTCTACTAAAAATACAACTAGCCATGCTTGGTGGCGCACGTCTGTAGTCCCAGCTACTCAGGAGGCTTAGGTAGGAGAACTGCTTGAACCCAGGAGGCAGAGGTTGCAGCGAGCCAGGATTGTGCCACTGCACTCCAGCCTGGGTGACAGAGCAAGACTCCATCTCAAAAATAAATAAATAAATAAATAAATAAAATACAATTGACCTAACAGATTTCTTAAACGTGTTCTGGGGACATCCAGGGATCTCTGGATCATACTTTAAGAAGTGATATTATAAAACAACAGATCAGTATTGTCTGTCTTTGAACTTAAATGAAAATATATACTAGTATATACTTCTTTGAACCAGCCCTTTTATGTTTATATGATTAATTCATGTTGTTACATGTAGCAGTAAGTACGTTTTCAATACCATGCAGTAATAGCATCACCCATTTGATGATGGTATTATAATTTATCCATTTTACTACCGATAAACTTTTGGGTTCATTTCAGGTATTGACTTCTATAAATAATACTGCAAAGAGCATTCTAGTATAAGCCTTTTGATGCACATCTATATGCATTTTCCTGGGGATATAGTTAAGAATGGTCACAGGGTACGTATATGCTCAGGTTTGATAAATACTGCCAAATTGCCAAAATGACTGTATTAATTCCCAGTAGAAGGTTATTAGAGTTCCAGTTTTTCAACAACCTCACCAACATTTAGCACTGTTACGTTTTTTGTTTTTTGTTTTTTGTTTTTTTTCTTGTGGCAGTATTTACAGCAGAGGTCGGCAAACTATGAATAGCAGGCCAAATCTGGCCCAGTTTTTTTTAAACTGTACTAAGAATATATATGTAACATAAAATTTACCATCTTAACAATTTCTATGAGCACAGTTCAGTAATGTTAAGTATATTCACACTGTTGTGCAACCAATCCCTAGAATGTTTTCATCTTGCAAAACTGAAAACTCTATACCCATTAAACAACAACTTCCCAGCTCCTCCTCTCCTCCCCTGGAATCCACCATTCTGATTTCTGTTTCTCCCCACAGCCACTGGTAACTGCCATTCTAATTTCTGTTTTTATGAATCTAACTACTCTAGATACCTGCTACAAGTAGAATTATGAAGTATTTATCTTTTTGTGACTGGTTTACTTCACTTAGCATCATGTCCTCAAGGTTCATACACATAGGAGCATGTGTCAGAATTTCCCTTCCTTTTAAGGCTGAATAATATTCCATTGTATGTATATACCAAATTTTCTTTATTCCTTCAATAATTGATGGACCTGTGGGTTCCTTCTACCTCCTGGGTATTGTGAACATAGTGCTGCTATGAACTCTTTGAGATTCTGCTTTCAATTCTTATGGATATAGACCCAGAAGTGGAATTGCTACATCATATATTAATTCTATTTTTAATTTTTTGAGGAACTACCATACTGTTTCCCACAGGAGCTACACCAATTTACATTCCCACCAACAATGCACAAAGGTTCCAATTTTTCCACATCTACACCAACAATTGTTACTTGTGTTTCATTTTGTTTTTGAAAGTAGCCACCGTAATAGGTGTGAGGTGATATCTCAATGTGGTTATGGTCTGCATTTCACTAATGTTTAGTGATGCTGAGCATTTTTTAATATGCTTGTTGGTCATTTGTATATTATCTTTAGAGAAATATCTATTTAAGTTCTTTCCCCCAATTTCAAATTGGGTAATTTTTTTTGGTTGTTTAGTTATAGCTCTTTATGTATTCTAGACATTAATCCTTATCAGATAAATAATTTGCAAATATTTTATCCCATTCCATAGTTGTCATTTCACTCTGTGTTGATTTTGTCCTTTCATGTACAGAAGTTTTTAACTTTAAAAAGTCCAATTTGTCTATTTTTGCTTTTGTTGTCTGTGCTTTGGTGTCATATCCAAGAAATCTTTGTCAAATCCAATGTCATGAAGCTTCTCCCCTAATTTCTTCTAAAAGTCTTATAGTTTTAGATATTTACAGTTTTATATTTTAGATTGTTTGATCCATTTTAAGTTATATTTTGAAAACAGGTGTAAGGCAAGCAGACAACTTCATTCTTTTGCATGTGAATATGCAGTTTTCTGAGCACTCTTTGTTGAAAAAAAATCTGTCCCTTCCTCTTTGATTTGTCTTGAGACCATTGTTGAAAAATTATTTAACCATATATGTGAGGATTTATTTATAGGCTCTCTAGTCTATTCCATTTGTCTATATGTCTATCTTTATGCCAGTACCACACTGTTTGGATTACTGTAGCTTTGTAATACATTTTAAAATCAGGAAGTGTGAGGCCTCCAACTTTGACCATCTTCAAGATTGTTTTGGCTACTTGAGATTCCTTGAGATTCTACATTATTTTAGAATAATTTTTTTCTATTTCTGAAAAAAAAATACCATTAGGATTTTGATAGAGATTGCATTAAATATTACCTTGAGTAGTAGTATTAACATCTTCACTGCCTGTGCTGTCTATGGCTGCTTGCACACTATGACAGCATAATTAAGCAGTGGCAACAAAGACTGTATGGCCCAAGAAGCCAAAAATATTTACTGTCTGGCACTTTTAAAAGTTTGACAACCACTGATCCGTAGTATTATTTTTAAAAATGTGTTTCCCTAAATGACTAACAAGCATTAAACCTTTCTTGTATGCTTTTTGGCCATTTCACTATCCTCTTTTGTGCAGTGCCTTTTGCTCATTTTTTTTTCTTAACTGAGTCGTCATTTTCTTTTTTTTTTTTTTTTTTTTTTTTTTGAGACGGAGTTTTGCTCTGTCGCCCAGGCTGGAGTGCAGTGGCCGGATCTCAGCTCACTGCAAGCTGCACCTCCCGGGTTCCCGCCATTCTCCTGCCTCAGCCTCCCGAGTAGCTGGGACTACAGGCACCCGCCACCTCGCCCGGCTAGTCTTTTGTGTTTTTTAGTAGAGACGGGGTTTCACCGTGTTAGCCAGGATGGTCTCGATCTCCTGACCTCGTGATCCGCCCGTCTCGGCCTCCCAAAGTGCTGGGATTACAGGCTTGAGCCACCGCGCCCGGCCGTCATTTTCTTATTGGTTGCTAGTTATTTACTTTGGATACAAATTATTTGACATATGTATAACAAATATCCTCATCTACTTTGTGCCTTGCCTTTTCACCCTTCTAATGTTATATTTAAATATAACATAAAGGGTAATTTTAATTTTAATTTTGTCCAACTGATCAACTGGATAACATGATTATGATTACTTCATTTTATAACATGCTTAAGAAATCTTTGCCCAATGTCATGAATATATTCTATGTTATCCTCTGCTACCTTTACTTTATATGTTTTACAAAAATCTATCTGAGATTTATTTAGTGATAGGTATAAGGCAGGAGTTAAGATTCATTATCTTTTCATATGAATATCCAATTGCCAAACACCACTCACTGGAAGTTCATGCTTAACCCACAGATCTTCAGTGGTAACTTTGTCATACACACAGACATATAGGTTTGGTTTTGACCTCTTTCATCTTTTGCACTGATTACTGTTTATCCTTGAACCAATATTAAACTGCATTATATATGGTACCTTTATAATAAGGCTTTCTATCTGGTCATGTCTTTCAAGATTGCACTTGAAGATTGTAGTCAGAATTCTAGGTCCTTTGCAATTCCTCTATAAAGTCAGCTTGTCAACTTATACACATACACACACATACACACACATGCACATACACAAACCCTACCGGGATTTTGATAAAGACTGCTTTAAACTTACAAAGCGATTTTGAGGAAATGTATATCTTTACAATATTGATTATTGCAATTCATATACCCTTCCTCCCCATTAATTAAAGCCTCATTTAATTTCACCATAATGTTACCAAACATGTCTTTCAGATCTTTTGTTAGATTTAGTTCTAGGTGTTTAAGGTTTTGGTACTATTGTAAATGTTCCCATTTTAATTTTTCTAATATTTATTTTTAGGATATAGAAATATATTTATTTTTGAATGTTCATTTGAATCGAATGACTATGCTAACTTCATTTATTAATTCAGATTATCTTAAGATTATTCTGAATCTTCTCTTACTCCATGCTCATGGATAGGAAGAATCAATATCGTGAAAATGGCCATACTGCCCAAAGTAATTTATAGATTCAATTATTCCCATCAAGCTACTATTGACTTTCTTCACAGAATTAGAAAAAACTACTTTAAATTTCATATGGAACCAAAAAACAGCCTGCATAGCCAAGAATCTAAGCAAAAGGAATGACACTGGAGGCATCATGCTACCTGACTTCAAACTATACTACAAGGCTACAGTAACCAAAACAGCATGGTACTGGTACCAAAACAGATACATAAACCAATGAAACATAACAGAGGCCTCAGTAATAATGCCACACAGCTACAATCATCTGATCTTTGACAAACCTGACAAAAACAAGAAATGGGGAAAGGATTCCCTACTTAATAAATGGTGTCAGGAAAACTGGCTAGCCATATGCAGAAAACTGAAACTGGATCCCTTCTTTATATCATATAGAAAAATTAACTCAAGATTGATTAAAGACTTAAATGTAAGACCTAAAACCATAAAAACCATAGAAGAAAATCTAGGCAATACCATTCAGGACACAGGCATGGGCAAAGACTTCATGACTAAATTCCAAAAGCAATGGCAACAAAAGCCAAAATTGACAAATGGGATCTAAATAAACTAAAGAGTTTCTGCACAGCAAAAGAAACTATCATCAGAGTGAACAGGCAACCTACAGAATGGGAGGAAATTTTTGCAATCTATGGATCTGACAAAGGGCTTATATCCAGAATCTACAAGGAACTTAAACAAATTTACCAGGAAAAAAAAAAAAATACAACCCCATCAAAAAGTGGGCAAAGGATGTGAACAGATACTTTTCAAAAGAAGACATTTATGCGGCCAAGAAACATATGAAAAAAAGCTCATCATCACTGGTCATTAGAGAAATGCAAATCAAAATCACAATGAGATACCATCTCATGCCACTTAGAATGGCAAACATTAAAAAGTCAGGAAACAGCAGATGCTGCAGAAGATGTGGAGAAATAGGAATGCTTTCACACTGTTGGTGGGAATGTAAATTAGTTCAACGATTGTGCAAGATAGCATGGCAATTCCACAAGGATCTAGAATCAGAAATATCATTTGACCCAGCAATTCCATTACTGGGTATATACCCAAAGGATTATATATCATTCTACTATAAAGACACATGCTAATGTATGTTTATGGCAGCACTATTCACAATAGCAAAGACTTGGAACCAACCCAAATGCCCATCAATGATACACTGGATAAAGAAAATGTGGCACATATATACCATGGACTACTATGCAGCCATAAAAAACAATGAGTTAATGTCCTTTGTAGGGACATGGATGAAGCTGGAAACCATCATTCTCAGCAAACTAACACAGAAACAGGAAACCAAACACTGCATGTTTTCACTCATAAGTGGGAGCTGAACAATGAGAACACATGGACACAGGGAGGGGAACATCACATACTGGTGCCTGTAAGGGGGTGGGGGAAAGGGGAGGGATAGCATTAGGAGAAATACCTAATGCATGTGGGGCTTAAAATCTAGATGGTGGGTTGATGGGTGCAGAAAACCACCATGGCACATGCATGTATACCTATATAACAAACCTGCATGTTCTGCACATATATCCCAGAACTCAAGAGTATAATAAAAAAAAAGATTATGAATTTTCAAAATTATACAATCATGTCACCTGTAAATAATTACAGTTTTATTTTTTCCTTTCCACTTTACATTAGTTATTTCTTTTTCTTGCCTTAGTGTACTGGCTATGATCTCTACTACAATGTTGAATAAGAGTGGTGATAGCAGACATACTGGTTAGTTCTCAACATCATGGGAGAAACTCTAATCTTTCACCATTAAGTATGAAATTAGCTGTTGGTTTCTATAGATATTCTTGATTAAACTGAAGAAGTCTTTTCTATTCTTATATAATTAAGAATTTTTTTCATAAACGGGATGTTGAATTTTATCGAATGACTTTTCTCTATTGAGATGACCATTATGAATTTTCTCTTTTAAATTGTGTTATGAACTGAATTGTTCCCCACCTCCCAAAATTCATATGTTGAAGCCCTAATTTCCAGTGTGACTAATTTGGAGATAGGGCCTTTAAAAAGATGATTAAGGTCAAAAAAGGTCACAAGGGTGGGGCCCTAACCTAATATAACTGGTGTCCTTACAAGATGTGGAAATGAAACCAGGAAGGTATATGTACAGAGAACAGGCTATGTGAGGACACAGTGAGAAAGTGGCAGTCTGCAAGCCAAGAAAAGAGGTCTCAGGAGAAAACAAACTTGCTGACACTACAATCTAGGACTCCAGCCTCCAGAACTGTGGCAAAATACATTTCTGTTGTTTAAGCACCCAATCTGGTATTTTGTTATGGCAGCCCTGGCAAATTAATACAATCCAAGGTAACAGAAGGTTTATATACTTCTATTCTGCAAGTTTTTACATTATGATCCAGATGTGAAACTAAAGCCATTGCATATGTACGAAATTGTTTCAAAAAGCATAAATCAGAACTATTCAAATTTAAAAATATGAGTTATTCAAGTGCTAAAATGGCAAAACATTTTAAAGAGAATATGAATGTGAAATTAACAGAATATGTTAAAATATACTATTGCAATAAAGATATCTAACTTCTAGAAAATCCTGCCATAGGCTTTTAAGATACATGGGGGAACTGAATGTTTTATATGTACACACACTGACTAGTGTCTTATTGACACAAAAGACAAACTACTGGAAAGGATTGCTAGGATATTTGGTTTGGCAAGTTGGAATGGCAAACAAATCTTTCTGAAATAGGGCTGTGTAATTATAAACATGTTACTATAAACACTATGGATGAAAGTATAGTCTAAAACTAAGAGATTATAATTCGAATTCTCAAAATAGACATTAGCGTATATAGGGCAGTGTAAATAAATGAAGCAAGTATAGGAGCAACCCATCAATCCAGGATTATTATATTCAGTTGTTTTAGAGGGTACCATGATGATTCAACACACCATTAGAAAAATATAAAGAAAAACGCACAAGTATAAATAAGACAACTAAACACAACCTAAAATTATAGTTATACTGTATACAACAACTGTTTAGGAAGCGATCTCTCTAATATTTAAGAAAACACTAAATAACAGGTATTTCGATCTGAGGGATTCAGTTTTCATGTCTGGATTCCCAGTATTCAGATCCTCACATTAGTCAGCATGTCTATACATAAAACATTTAATTCTCCCACTGTATCTTAAAAGCCTTAAAAGGATTTTCTAGAAGATACACTGATGAAGTACGAACAGCAGAAACACGATAAAGTCCCTAACCTTTAGGCCAGTGGGTTTTATTAGGTTTTTAACACACTGTAGCATGTATCTACATAACTACATGCTATCAAAATAATGGAACTAAATGCTACTGTAATTTTATTTTACCTATAGCAGTTTGCCCCATACATGCAGGATGTCCTCTTGACCTTGTTTCCTTCAGAACCTTGTAGAACTGAATCAGTCGCCTTTGCATGCAAAGTTTCAGGACTGGAGGGATTAGAGCTGGACTCAGAATGAGACCCTTGAGACTCATCCTGGAATGACTCGCCCTGGGCACTCGAGCAATTTTCAGAACAGCTCATTGCCTCCTCTTCTTTATGTGGTGTTCTTTTAGTGGCAATTTTATGTTTAGAAACTTTACCAAGTTCCTCTATTGGAAGTTTGTTTCTCTGTGCACTAGTCTTAATATTATTTATCTCTGTGTTACTTAATGTGATTGCAGAAAATGATTGTGGCATTTCCTGTAAAACAAATATGAAAAACATCAGAAATAAATGAAAACTTCTTTTTTAAAAGATATGAGCATAATAGCACAAAACTACAAGACCCATGCAAAATGTAAACTTAAAACTTCAAGATTCACATTTTAAAGTTATCAAATGCCACTATTTTCTATGTGCTTAGTTTAATAACTTAAAACATTTTTAGTTATTAGAAAAGGAATTTGGCCAGGCGCGGTGGCTCATGCCTGTAATCCCAACACTTTGGGAGGCTGAGGCGGGTGGATCACCTGAGATCAGGAGTTTGAGACCAGCCTGGCCAACATGGTTAAACCCTGTCTTCACTAAAAAATATAAAAAATTAGTTGAGCGTGGTGGTGGGTGTGTTATTCCAGCTATTTGGGAGGCTGAGGCAGAAGAATCGGTTGAACCTGAGAGGTGGAGGTTGCAGTGAGCCGAGATTGTGCCATTGCACTCCAGCCTGGGCAACAAGAACAAGACTCCATCTCAAAAAAAAAAAAAAAAAGAAAGAAAATAAATTTACAGTTGTATCAAACCTTTACAATCATGTCAAACATTCAGTGAAAAATAACCAGAAAATACAAATAAAATATAAGATACTCGCTTTCATTTGAACGTAATCTTTAAAATCTCTTAAAAGTCACTGTTCAACAATGTGTCATGTTCTTAACAGGCTGACCCTCACTGGCAACATTCATGTCATGTCTATCTAAAACATACGCTTTTTGCTCCCAGGCTGCACAGGTACACCCCAATCTCAACCCCCCAACTACAGGACCAACTGGTCTGTGCCAGCAACTGGAACTCTCGAGTGAGAATTGGGCAATCCTAACCCACCTCCCTACTTGGCAGTCCCCGCTGGGTCAGTTTTCCCCAGTTTTCTTTTTCCTTGTTCAGGTAGCAGTGGGGTAGGTCAGCAAATCCACTGGCTAACAGGTGTTCAATAAAACATATCTCTTGTTTCTGCTGGCATTTCCAAGTTCCACAAGTAATTATCTTAGAATGCCCCTCTTCTCTTGATTTCAGAAAAGGAAGAAACAATTTCCACCATAAACACTGCACTTCCCTTAACCTTAAAACCTTTCGGCCTCTCAATTCCCTTTGTATCAAGCCTAGGGGGTTGGGATGGCAATCGCTTTCATACCTTTCAATAAACCATAAAGGGAAAGGGCTAGTTCTTACTGCTGAGGGCTCCTTAACATGGGATACTTTATTAGTACTTCTATTCCCAGCTTTGAGCCTTAGCAGCAGTTCTGGGACAAGGAAACAATCCCACTCAATATCTTATCACATAAAAAAAAAAAAAAAAAAAAAGAGCACAACTAGGGAAGTAGTTAAATAAATTATATTATATTTTTACTATGAAACACTATGCAGACATTAAAATAATAATGACACATCTAAAGATGTTTTTTAACTAAACAAGAACAATATCTATACTGTGGTGCCATTTAGCTTTTAAGAAGTTCCTTATATATCTATGTGTGCATTCACTTGTGTAAATCCAAATGAAAAGAGTTAGGAGACAAACCAAAAAATTAGTAAGGCAATGAGACTGAAGGACGAGGCAAATGGAGGTTTTCATTCTTTACTTCAAATGCTCCTGATACTTCCATTTTTGACAATAAGCATCTATTATGTTGCCATTTAAAAATAAAAAATAAACCAATGAAAATGAAATATAAGAAATAAAATCCATAGTATCATATTTCAACTCTGTCTACTTCTGTGAATTAGAGAAGAGTTTGCTTTATTTTTAAATCCTCACAAGGAGTAGGTTTAACATGTTAATTTATTCTAAAAGAGAAAGAAATGTTAAAGTCCCAAATATCAATACTATGGATCAGGGTAATCAAATATATTTTAAGAGGCACAAAAGCTGGAAATCATAATGCTCTTTATGGAACTCCATGAAATATTGATTTATAGTACACCCTTGGCATTCAAGAATTTAACATTCATGGTTTAAATTATTTATAAATGACCCCAAAATCCATTACATGCAGTAATTTGTAAGTTTGCTGAGACATAAATTTGCACTGTGCCAATTACAAAACTCAGGAGCTAGAGTAAGCCACTGAACTGGCGAGTGAGCGAACAGGAAAGATGGAAGGGCTCTGTACTTGGAAGAAGTAGGAGAAAGTCAGAGAGCTCTATATTTCCTAAGCATCCCACATTGCTTATTTCTTAGATTAGATGAAAATGGGCAGCATTAAATGTGGAAAGCTGGCGACTCATGATAGAGTGGCCAAATCCCCTGCAATGTAAATATACACGTTAGTAACCTGAGGAACAGAAGAGCATGAGCTGGTAGAGGGTGACCTGGGTGTTTGGAGATGGCAGGAATATATTATTAAGGCTACTGAAATAGCCGGTTAATTTCTCAAGTAAGCCCTTCCCCTGTCCCTCAACCATCTGAGTGTTAATATACTAGAAGGGACAAGATAAAGAACTTCCACCTAGAGCAATTTCAATCAAGTAATGTATTGCTGTTTCCAAACTGCTCCTGGCAAGAATGTCTGTGGTGATAAATTACCTTAAAAGTCCTGCCTCAACCACATTAACACTGATGTACTAAAAACTCCTAACCTATAGCCCCAACTTCACTCCTGAGCTTCACACTCATATTTTCAACCACTAGCTAGACATTTCTTTCTCAATGTTCTATGCTCCTCAAACTCTAAATGTCAAAACTGACATTCTGCCTCTGTGTTCTCTGCCATAAGTTTCTGCCAACATATTTCATCTATTCATGCTAGCCAGAAATTTAGAAGTCTTTTACTCTTTTCTTGCCCTCTCTCCCCAGATCCAAGCAAGAAGTCCTACAATTTTATTCCTGAATGCTTTTATAATCCAATACTTCTTACTATCCTTAAAGTCACTGCCCTAGCTTAGATTCTCTATTTCTTCACTGTGTTAATGCCACAATTTCTTTCCTTACCTCCAAGTCTTTTATCTTGTTCTTTTGCAATCTGTCCTCTAGTGAGCTGCTGGGATTACCTCTGCGATTGAAAACATTTCAAGGACCCCTCTCTATTAACTGGTCACAATGCTGTCTTCACCCTCATCTCATAGTGCCATCTATCTGAGACCGGGTAACTTGCTCTGACCAAAAGAATTCAGCTAAAAGACAATTCTAGTTCTAGGCCTTAAAAGATCTATAGCTTTGACATCACTCTCTTGGGGCCCAGCTGTCAGGTGAAGATGCTCAGTCTAGGCTACTTCACGGTACGGTGACGGAGGTGGGCCCAGCCATTCCACCAACCTTTGCTGAGGCACCATTCACATGAGTAAAGCTATCATAGATGCTTCATCTTCAGCTGAGTTCTCAGCTGAATGAAGCCTAGCTGACACCAAAAACATGTCATAAAAGAATTGCCCAGCTGAGCCCAGCCAACCCACACAATTATAAGACAGAATATAATCATAATCACTGACATAATCATGTGTTAAGTCACTAAGTGTTGGGGTAGCTTGTTTCACAGCAATAGACAGCTAAAACACTTTACCATACTATTTTCACTTATGTCGTTTCGGTTAGGCTTCCTTCTGTCATTTATAAGAGTTCTCATTAGATTATAATATAATATAGATCATAAAGGAAATACATTGTCTTAGTCTGTTTTGTAGCTGCGATAACAGAATATCACAAATTGGGAAATTTATAAAGAACAGAAATTTCTTATCTCACAGTTGTGGGGTCTGGGAAGTTCAAGATCAAGGCACCAGCATCTGGTGTGAGCCTCCTTACTGCATTCTTACATGAGGGAAGGTGGAAGGGCATGAGAGGATGAATGCTGTGCCCTTATATGGCAGAAGAGTGAAAGAGTGTAAACCCATTTCTACAAGCCAAGCCTCCCACCCTTTTTTTAGAGATGAAGTCTCCATATGTCACACAGGCTGGCCTTAAACTCCTGGGCTTAAGCAATCCTCCTGCTTCAGCCTCCCAAGTAGCTGGGACTACAGGTGCATGTCACCGCATCCAGCTTCACAAGCCCTTTTTATAGCAGCATTATCCATTCATGAGCACGGAGCCCTCATAACCTAAATAGCCTCCCACTAGGCCCACCTCCCAATACTGTTGCACTGAGGATTAAGTTTCAACATAAATCTTTAGAGGAGTTAAAAACACTCAAACCATGCCAACTATCCTTTTCGCTAAAGTTAATCAATTCAAGTACCCTCATTTTCACATCTAAATTAGAAAGTTACATAACTGGGAAGGAATTGTAGAAAGACATACAAGAACTGACGAAAAATATAGACTATTTCTGACAACTGTCTTATGAAGAGAAGTTACTAGAGTCACAAAACTCTTTACATAGTCTATTATGTATGGTAGAAAAATTCATTATACCCAAAATGAAAATACACCTACATTTGAAGCCAAGGTTCCTAACAAATGTGATCTTGGGCCTCAGTTTCCTCTGAGATGTTCAATGGTGGTACAACAGTAGCTCTCAATTTTGAAAGGACACTAAAATTGGGAGAGTTTATTTAAGATACCACTGATGCACAGGCTCCACACACCAAATGAATCAGAATCTCAGAAACAGGGTCTAGTTGGGCAAAAGTGATTTTTGTCCCTTCTCTCCATTGCTTCTCCTACTTTTCCCAAAGAGAATGTAATTTTTTCCAAGTACACTGATCCAAATGTAGGCCTGGCCAAACTGTTATTGGTTTTTTGTAGCTGGCAACCTCCTGCCATTAGACCAGATAGATGAGCCTCGCCTCTTGTTTTCTCTCTCACCTGCTCTGCACTATAGCCATCCCTTTAGGACTAGCTGTTCTAAAGGTTCAGTGTTCAGACTCAAACTGGGCAGGGATGGAGGGTGGGGTTTGGAAAGGCTCTGCTGGGATTTTCAGACTAAGTCACATTTTCTAGCTCAGTTTTACCAGAGAGCTGTGCATAAAGGATCATGAAAATTTAAGCCTTATTTTTCCTGTGCTAGAAGAGGTAAATCTTCCTCACAAGGAAGGGAAGGAAAAGCAATTGGCCAAACAGAACTTGGGCATTCCTCAGACCTGGTTGTAATACTCCCTTGATGTCATCAAAACCTCACAAATAGCTTGAATATCTTGGATCTGCTCCTCTCTATAATCCATCAATTAAGATGTTTCTCAAAGTTTTTCTTGTGATTATCAAACCTTATGGGTTGGGATAAACAGAGGAAAACATGTATACTACAGATTTTCTTCTGAACACAGTAATTTCTCTTGAAAAAAGGCAACGTCAAGTGACATGTTCAGAGTTCAGAGAATACAGTATATGAGGGCCCAAAGTTTATACAAAACAAATTTTGTTTTAATAAGTTTTATGGCAAATATATCTGAGCCAGAAAACATTTTGTTTTCATTTATTAAGCTTGCCTCCGTAAGTAAAGCAAAGGAATTGAGTGTATAGTGACCAGGTCCCACTTCTCTAGCTGGAACACAGGCCCCAGTGAGAAGTGGTTCCTCTCTCTGGGAGAGAGGATAGGAGTGAGGAGAATATATTCGAAGACTGACCTCTAAGGTAGATGTTGGCATTTCAGTCATTTTGGTGCACAGTCTTCCATGAACAATCCTGTTCCTCTGGTTTTCCCTGAGACTGAGACAGGGATCCACAGAGCTCAGCCATGGGACTAAAAGGATCATGAAAACTGTCATCATAAGCTACCTCTCCCTAGAAAGGAAGCATGCCTGAACTTTCTGTCCTGGGGCCATCTCTATCTTTCTCTCTCTTTTTAAGTACTTCCAATAAATAGTCCTCATTTTCTTTAAGAACCCAGTGTTACAGAATGCGTATTTCAGCCAAACCATTCTAGTGAGTTAGCAAAAACTGAAAGAGGAAAGAAGGTCTACAAATATTGTCAGTTAGCCCAGAAGTGATCCTGAAACAGGCTCTTAAGAACTATCCCATCAATTTGTTTTTCTCATCACACTTAGCAAGAAAATGGTGGTTAAATGCAATCTGAGAACAACCACCAATGGAATAAGAGAAGCCAGGTTTTCAGAACAGAGGTGCCAAATTATGACCAGAGTGAAGTGGTCTCCCCTTTTTTTTTTCCAGTCTGAAAATTTCTAAATTTTCAACAAATACTGTATTAAACAATACTATATTAAAGATTAGTTTCAGTAAGTCTGAAAAAATTGGGCTAGTTTTTGTCTTCATAAACTCAGCAATGAAAGGCAGCTTTGATTTCTCCTTATATAGCATATGATTAATTTCTATCTAAAACACCTAATGAAGAAACAATCAAATAATGAATTTTTAAAAATCACCTTGGATGAAATGGTAGACTCTTCCTGATCAGTATTTTTGTACTTTTCTCCTGTATCTTGTTCTGCTGATGTATTTTCTGAACTTCCTGATGAAATTAATTGCCTTCTTCCTTGCTGTGTTGTGTTTAGTTGGGTTTTACCTTTGCAGATTTCTTCTTTTCCACTTCCCTGGATTACATTACCTTAAACACACATAAAGAAAAAGAAGAAAATTATCTTCTGTACCTTCAAATGTCAATAATCTATACCAAAAAAAGAAAAAAGAAAAAGGATTCAAGACCAGCCTGGCCAACATGGTGAAACCCGGTCTCTACTGAAAATACAAAAGATAGCCAGGTATGTGGTGTGCACCTGTAGTCCCAGCTACTTAGGAAGCAGAGGCATGAGAATCAGTTGAACTCAGGAGGTGGAGGTTGCAGTGAGCCGAGATCACACCACTGCACTCCAGTCTGGGTGACAGAGTGAGCCTCCATCTTAAAAGAAAAAAAAAAAAAATGCTAACTTGGAAACACTTATGTGCAAATCTCAGAAAGTATTAAGCAGCAAAATGGCTAAGAGCACCAGGCCTGCATTCTACCAGGCTGAGATGCCAATGGGGACTCCATCCCTTAACTATTTCATCTCACCTTTCTGAACTTTGGTTTCATCATCTGGATAATGGGAATTATAATTCATGGAATTATTAGGAGAAGTAAATGAAGTAAGATATGTAAACTATCTAGCAGAGTACCTGATACATGTTATTTTTTTTAATTGTAGAATTGAATTTATCTCACAGAAAATCTGACTTATAGCTAGCTATCCAATGAACTTTACATATACTACTTATTTTTTTTTATTATACTTAAAAGTTCTAGGGTACATGTGTACAACGTGCAGGTTTGTTACATATGTATACATGTGCCATGTTGGTATGCTGCACCCATTAACTCGTCATTTACATTAGGTATATCTCCTAATGCTATCCCCCCCGCCCCCCCCAAAATAGGACCCGATGTGTGATGATCCCCTTCCTGTGTCCAAGTGATCTCATTGTTCAATTCCCACCTATGAGTGAGAACATGCAGAATTTGGTTTTCTGTTCTTGCAATAGTTTGCTGAGAATGATGGTTTCCAGCTGCATCTATGTCCCTACAAAGGACACGAACTCATCCTTTTTTATGGCTGCATAGTATTCCATGGTATATATGTGCCACATTTTCTTAATCCAGTCTGTCACTGATGGACATCTGGGTTGATTCCAAGTCTTTACTATTGTACATATACTACTTATTAAACCCTAACATCCACAGTGAGGAATTAAACTTAAGCTCTTTTTTTTTTTTTTTAAATGAAATCGAGTCTTGCTCTATCACCCAGGCTGGAGTGCAGTGGCACGATCTCAGCTCACTGCAACCTACGCCTCCCTGGTTCAAGCAATTCTCCTGCCTCAGCCTCCCGAGTAGCTGGGATTACAGGTGCGCACTACCCTACACCTGGCTAAATTTTGTATTTTTAGTAGAGACGGGGTTTCATCATGTTGGCAAGGCTGGTCTTGAACTCCTCACCTCAGGTGATCCGCCTGTCTCAGCCTCCCAAAGTGCTGGGATTACAGGCAAACCCAAAATAACCCAAACAGGGAAGTGACTTCTACAGACTTTGCTGATGAAGTAAATAAATCTCAGTAACAATGGACATTGTATCCCATAAAATACTTACCCAAAGTTTAATGCAGTTGGCAAACCTAAGTCACTATCACATTTTGTTAACAAATTCATAATTGTCCATGGCAAACTGCCCCTCTCCTCTACTTGCGAATGATGTCTTCACGAAGGCAGAAACTTTACATGCCTTGTTCACTGTACCTCCCTTGTCTCCAGCACCTTCAACTGTGCCTAGCACAAAACTGATGCTCAATAAATATTTCTGACTAAATGAATTTTGAACATAAACAATTTGTCCAAAGATTCCCTTAAGAGCCAGGATATAGGTATGTAAAGCAATCTGTAGTCATTATTCTAATGTTCTAAAGCAGGGATTAGCAAACTTTTTCTGTAAAAAGCCAGAAAGTAAACAGATTAAGCTCTGTAGGCCATACAGTGTCTGTCAGTACTACCCAACTCTGTCTTTGTAACATGAAAGCAGTCACAGACAATGCACATATGGTTGACCATGGTCATGTTTCAATAAACTTTATTTACAAAAACAGGCTGTGGGCCAAATTTGGCCCATGGACTGTAGTTTGCTTAGTCCAGTTCTAAAGGACATTCAAGTAGCCTGAAATAACATTCCCTCATTCAGTTTAGGAAAGAAATGCCAATAGAATACTGTCCATATTATCAAACAGGAATATCAATTGAACCAATATAAAAATAATACATTTATCAAATGAAACTGAGGAATAAACTATTATAATAACTAAATTTTAACTAAATTATTTAAACATTCATCAAGAATCTAAATTAGAAAATAGTTCATATCATTTTTGGAAACTGTCATAAACAGGACTTAATAGGACTGTGTAGCTTGATACAACAAATGACCAAATGCTGTAACAGTTATGAATTAAACCAAGTGACATACTGAACTAGTGGTATTGCTGATTAAGCTAAGAACTATAGTAAATTAAACAAGACACAGCTTCTACACAAATGGTAGTTTATATATTCCAAGTGTCACACATGTACCCAAAATTCTAAATTAAAAAATATATATATTTAAAATACTCAGTTCTTCAAAACTCCAAATTCTTTACTACAAACCGCCTCTAGGGACTAGAGCTAATTTTTTTTTTTCCTGCATGAGAAGCCATTTTGGTATTATTAAAATGCTCTTCACGAAGAGTGTATAAAAAACGAATAGCTTAAAATGGCTAACAACAGTCTTTATATCTGGTATGGCAAATATTCTTCTGAAATCCAAAATAGGTACAGTCAAATGATAGAAATACAAAAGAAATTAACTATTAATACAAAACAGCTTGATTTTAACTATTACCAACGGCACTTATTTGAGCTGTTACACTACTACTACATGAATGAGAGCTCAATTTTATATATATATATATATATATGTATCATTAAAAATACATTCATCCAATCTTACCCTCTAGAGGAACTACTCCCAAACAGCTATATTAACTATTGCATGTGTATACTTCTCAATTTTTTCCTGTGTTTAAGCAAACATATCTACAAATACATATGCATAAACATATACAGGGCTAAAAGTACAAATGTTATTATTTCCGTGGTTTAAATACCTAGGATTGCAATTTCTGGATCAAAGTGTATTGTATATTTAAAAATTTAAGAGATACAAGTGATTTTGAAAGGCTGTACTAATTTATACCTCCACAAGTAATGTTCGATAATACTCCTTTCTGCCAACAGTGGATATTATCAATTGCTTAAATGTTGATAAGTTAATGCTTAATGATAAGTTAATGATAAGTTAAATGTTGATAAGTTAAAAAAATGGTAACTAGTTGTTTTCAATTTACATTTTCCTACTTGATAGTAAAGTCATAACATTTACTATGTGTATTTATTATTCTGTAGTATGTCACACATAATGCCCAAAATTTCTACTGAGTTTTATCTTTTTTGTTACTAAGTAGACAATTTTCTAAAAACCTTTTATAAGTGTGGTAGATAATGTATCTCAGTATATTGTTTGGCAGGCTACTATTTGCCTCTGACTTTATTTATAGTGTCTTTTGCATAGAAGTATTTTTCCTTTTTATTTAGGTAAATCTATCAATTTTTCCCTTAGGATTTCAGGTTCCTTATCATCTTAAGAAAGTGTACAGGAGTAATCAAAATATTTTTCCCATACTTTCTTCAAATGCCTTGTTTTAATATTTATATTAAGACTATTAATTCAATAGAAATTTGTTTCTGAATATGGTATAAAGTAGTACTTTAACATTATTTTCTTCAAAATGGAGAGCCAATTTTCTCAACGTCATTTATTGAATAATATACCCTTTCTCCATCAGTTTGAACTGGTATGTGTTTATAAATTAAATGCATTTTTTTTTATCTGTTTCTGCATGTTTCATTCTTTTTTTTTCTTTTTTTCTGGTCTAAATTACCTATTCCTCTGCCGGAATTATCAACTACTGAAAGCAGGCATCAGGCCCAGATCAGGAGAGTTCCATGAAGAAACATAATTTTTCAATTATTCAAATTGTCCCTGACCATATATGCAAATAATTCGGTGCTCTAACATTAAAATCTGAGACAGAAGGCACACATAAAGAAAAATACGGACTAACCATAATATAGATAAGAGATGTCCTAAACCAAATATTAGCAAATTTAATCTAACAGAGTATAAAAATAAAAAGTTATCAAAAGACTGAACTTATTCCAGGAACACAAGCATAGTATATTAGGATATCTACCAATATCATTACTTACATTAACACACAAAAATGCAGAACTATTTCTATACCAATACATTTTTAAATAATTCAACAGTTATTCCTGGAAATAAAATGTAAAAATAAAGTGAACCATACCAAACATGATATAACTGTTTATCAGAATCTAATACCAACCATATAAAATGCTAAAATATTAAGAGAATTTCTATTAAAATCATGAACAAGAACAGACCAATTTTAACCATTTTTATTTAAAGTTTATAGGGTTCAGCTAATAAGAAAAGAAAAGAAAGCAGTAGATAGATCAGAAGAGCCAAAATTACCCTAATTCTATAGATAATATGATTCTACAGCTAGAAAATATAAGGTTCAAAAACTACTAAAATTAAATAACTTGGCCAAGTTGCTGGAAACAAAGTAAACAGAATAACTAGCACTTTACGTAAATGTAAGTACAGTTTGAACTGTAGTCCAATTAAAATAATGTATAAATGCTCAATATTTATAATATGCATCAAATTGCCATGGTGAAAATATTCACAGCACAAAATTAAATGCAAACCAAACAGTTGGGGGACTAGTTCAATCTTCATCAGCATGTGCCACTTTTTACAGCTTCATGTTGGTAGCTTAGAAGATGCAGGAAGAGGAGCTCTATAGAATAGCATGATACCAGTGAAAATATAAAAGTTCCTTTTTCAATCTACCAGGAGTATCCTAACCTAAGAGTTAAGATTAGTCTTGTGGCCTGGAAGGCTGAAGGAACAGAGATAACTGGAGATCAAGAAAGAGGAGACTCTGAAAACCTTTGCCTAAATATATTTACTTCTCCATCACTAATGGACATTTAAAAAAATTCAGCCCAGGCCTAAGAAACTCATGACAACATCCAAGAGCTAGTACCTGAGACATAAAAAATAAAATAAATTAGAACTATATTGGCTGTCCACTTTCAACACTTCTATTCAACATAGCACTGGAAGTCCTAGCCAGAGCAATCAGACAAGAGAAGAAGTAAAGGGCATCCAAATCAGTAAAGAGTCAATAAGTCAAACTGTCACTGAGTCAAACTGTCACTGTTTGCCAATGATATGATCATATACGTAGAAAACCCTAGAGATGCATTCAAACAGCTCCTAGAACTGACAAATGAATTCAGCAAAGTTTCAGGATATAAAACCAGTGTACACAAATCTGTAGTACTGCTATACACTAACAGTGACCAAGCTGAGAATCAAATCAAGAATTCAACCCCTTTTATAATAGCTGCAAAAAACAAACAAACAAAACAAAAACAAAAACAAAACTTAGGAATATACCTAACCAAGGATTTAAAGGACCTCTACAAGGAAAACTACAAAACACTGCTGAAAGAAATCATAGATGACACAAACAAATGGAAATATATCACATGCTTATGGATTGGTAGAATCAATATTGTGAAAACAACCATACTGCCAAAAGCAATCTACAAATTCAATGAAATTCTCACCAAAATACCACCATCATTCTTCACAGGACTAGAAAAAACAATCCCAAAATTCATGTGAAACCAAAAGACAGCCCAAAGCAAGTCTACCCAAAGCAATACTAAGCAAAAAGAACAAATCTGGAGGCATCACATTACCCGACTTCAAACTGTACTACAAGGCTACAGCCAGCAAAATAGTATGGTACTGGTATAAAAACAGGCACATAGACCAATGGAACAGAATAGAGAACTCAGAAATAAAGCCAAATAATTACACTCAACTGATCTTTGACACAGCAAACAGAAATATAAAGTAGGGAAAGGACACCCTATTCAAATAGTGCTGGGATAATTTGCAAGTCACATGTAAAAGAATGAAACTGGATCCTCATCTCTCACCTTATACAAAAATCAACTCAATATGGATTAAAGACTTAAATTTAAGACTTGAAACTATAAAAATTCTAGAAGATAACATCAGAAAAACCCTTCTAGACATTGGCTTAGGAAAAGACTTCATGACCAAGAACCCAAAAGTGAATGCAATAAAAACAAAGATAAATAGATGGGACTTAATTAAACTAAAAAGCTTCTGCACAGCAAAAGAAATAATCAGCAGAGTAAACAGACAACTCACAGAGTGGGAAAAAATCTTTGCAAACTATGCATCTGACAAAGGACTAATAACCAGAATCTACAAGAAAAAACAAATTAGCAAGAAAAAAACAAATAATCCCATCAAAATGTGGGCTAAGGATATAAATAAATAATTCTCAAAAGAAGATACACAAATGGACAACATAAGAAAAAATGCTCAACATCACTAATTATCAGGAAAATGTAAAGCAAAACCTGAGTGCAATATCACCTTACTCCTGCAAGAATGGCCATAATTTAAAAATCAAAAACATAATAGATGTTGGTGTGGATGTGGTAAAAAGGGAACACTTTTACACTGCTGGTGGGAATGTAAACTAGTGCAACCACTATGGAAAACAGTGTGGAAATTCCTTAAACAACTAAAAGTAGATCTACCATTTGATCTAGCAATCCACTACCGGGTGTCTACCCAGAAGAAAAGAAGTGATTATATGAAAAAGACATCTGCACATACACTTTTATAGCAGCACAATTCGCAATTGCAAAAACATGGAACCAGCCCAAATGCCCATCAATCAATGAGTGGATAAAGAAACTGATATATATATATGTGATATATACATATATATGTGATATATATATATCACATAATAGCACTTGTTAAATGAAAAAAAATTAGGGTGGTATTTGATAAATGGCATAAAGTAATAGCCTCTGTTTTAAATTAGACTTCATGTTCACAACTAAAAACAACTAGGCTAAGCTATACATTTATACGACCTCTATCTCCATAAAAATAGTTTATAGTTTTTCTTCAGAAAAACTTTCAAATTCTGTTTACTGTTTTCTTGAAAGTCAGCATTAGTAGAAATAAAAACCTACCTCCACTGATTGCTGGTACTGAAAGGTTTTCATCACTTAAATGTTCTGCTAACATCCAAGCTGGAAGGATTCTTTTCCTCTCGTCAAGGATTCGCTGCTGCTTACTGAAGTCTCTATTTTCACCTAGGAAAGACTAAAAAGGCACCTATAAATTACTAAAAATAATCACGTCTTTAACAAATTTGCAAAATATTTGCTTTGCAGAATACTACCATTAAAATACCCATATGCAACTGTAGACTGAGTTCATCAAATTTCTTGAACAAAGAAATTATTTCTATTAAAGTGTTGGATTACTGCCATATTCTCTAGAGCTTAACTTAAAATCAGCAAAAGTAGATAAATGCTAGCAATATTATCATAACAGGCCTAATTTCAGTTGTCTTTTCTGCCTTCATCATAATTTGAAGAACATGTTATAAATGGATGAGATCTCAAATTTCTCACCACACTATTTGTGGGAGTCATCTGGGTCTTGGCTATTTCTGTGCTTCCTTCCAGTTGTGAGGCACCAGTAGTCTCATGAGGTAAATTAATCACGGGGGATTTTGGTGTTTCATTCAATATATTATCTTCATCAAGCATTTGACTGTTTCTATAAGATAAAATAGAAACTTGTCTTTAATTTTAACACTCTTCTGCTGCCTTAGAACTACATCTAAGTTATGTCCCTTTTCTCAGACTTAGCAAAAACAAAAAAGCAAATTATAGTATATTAGAATAAAATATATAGACTAGAATATGTTCTTTATTTCCTACCTGCTGTACTGCCATAAAATACATCAATCTTTCCAAATCATGGGCCTAGAAACCACAATTATTTTTGAGATATGTGTCAGCCATCTTTCTTAAGGCATAAGAGCTCTTTATTTAATACTTGTCCAGATGGTCCACAAAAATTAAGATCACCACCCAGCCTCTAGAGAGAAAATGTAAACTGCAAGGGCATCAGCTAAGCTAGTTAGACGCTTGGAGAAAAAATAAATAAAATTCTGAGTTTAAGTGACACATAACTGCTACCGAAGTTCAGGGAAGTATTAAAGAGCTACTTATGAAATATCCCCAAACTTGTAGTATAGCTGCAAACTAAATGTTCTGGAACAGGAACATCCATGTTCACACGTGGGACATGCCAGCAGAACCAATTACCTCATACTCCTGCAATATGCAGTAAGATTATCCAAAGTTGTTGGGTTATTATTACTTACGTATGCATAGACATGATCCAACAAATTTGTCTTTTTGAAAATTTGAAACTACAGATGAAATACTACTCAGAAATAACAAGGCGTGAACTACTGATGTGTGCAAGAATATAGATGAATCCCAAAGGCATTTTGCTAAGTGAAAGAAGTCAGACACAAAAGGTATATTGTATTACTCCATTTATATGACATCATGAAAGGTAAAGCTACAGGGACAGAAATCATATTAATGGTTGCCAGGGATTAGCGGTGGAGTGAAGGGACAGACTACCAAGAGCCATGAGAGAACATCTGGGGAAATGAAAATGTTCTATATCTCACTCTAGCAGTATTTTAAATGACTATATTGTCATTTTTAGTGCACTGAATTGCACATTTAAAAGGGATGAATTCTACTGTGTGTAAATTGTCCTCATTAAATGTGAATTTTTAAAAACTAAAGACATAAGATTTTAGAAGTGTGTCTAGCTGAGGAGAGTCTAATTAACCACTTGTTTATTTGTTCATTTTAGTATTTCTTATATGGGAATAATATCCTTCAAAGGCAGCCTTCAATTTCAATGGCAAGAATCAGCCAAAAGAGCAAATTTACTTAGAGTGAATTACTATGCAGCATCACATTTTTTGTTCATTCAGTCAATATTTTTAAAACTTCTACTGTGTGTCAGACACTGTGCCAGGTGCTGGAAACATATCTTGGAAATGTCTGATTGTCCTATCTATGAAAGTTCACTCCACTACAATACCCAGACCCATTTTACTCATAGGTTACAGATGTACTTCCAACTTATAATTTTTTTCAAGTTTTCTTAATATTTAACATGAAAAACATCAATAAACATTCAAGAGTAGTGATGATTTTTCACAATTTATAGTATTAGGAATTAAGTAACATCATCAATTCCATTTCTAGTTTATTTTCTATTCTGGCATAAGTCTGAGATGAATTCATACACACTCTATAGTCCATATGTAATTTGTATTAATAGTTACCCACAATAAATGTAATAACAAAAAAATCTCAAAACAAAATTCTATTTAACATTTCATTCAAAAAAGTACAAGCACAAATTATTCTATTACACATTTATTTAAATATGGAACACTGTCACTGTGATATATATTTTTATTTTATCTTCAAATACTTGTATGAGTAATCAACCATCACAGGATTTATAAAGCATCATTACAGAATATTTTAAATAAAAAATTAAAACCTGGAAAGTTAAATGTAGTCTAATAAAGGTAATAGAGTTATCCTTTTTTACAATCACTTTATTGAAAAATAATCCATATAGCCATAAGATTCATCCTGTTAAAGTGTACGATCCAGTGGTTATTAGTATGTTAACAGAGTTGTGCAACCATCACCAGTATCTAATTTTAGAACATATTCATCACCTCAAAAAGAAATTCCATATGCATTAGCAGTTTCTTCCCATTGCCTCTTCCTCCTGCTCCTGGAAACCATTAATCTACCTTCTGTCTCTATAGATTTGCATTTTCTAGATATTTCATATAAATGAAATACAGTATGTAGTCTTTCATGTCTAGCTTTTTCACTTAGCATAACATTTCAAGATTCATCTGTGTTGTAGCATATGTAAATATTTCATTCCTCTTTATGGTCAAATAATATTCTACTGTATGACTACACTATACTTGTTTATCTCAACAGTTGTTGGACAGCTGAGTTATTTCCACTTTTTGGCTATTATGAATAATGCTGCTGTGAACATCGATGTACAAGTTTTTATGTGGGCATAGGTTTTCAATTCTTTTGGGTATATACATAGGAGTGGAAATGCTGAGCCACATAGTAATTCCATGTTTAAACTTTTGAGGAACTGCCAGAATATGTTCCAAAAAGGCTATACCATTTTATAATCCCACCACAATGTATAATAGTTCAGTTTCTTCACAACTTCACCAACACTTGTTATTGTATTTTTGATTATAGCTTTCCTAGTAGATGTGAAGTGGTATCTCATTGCAGTTTTAATTTGCATTTCCCTGTGACGAATGGTATTGAACATTTTTTCATGTTCTATTGACCATTTGTATACCTTCTTCGGAAAAATGTCTATTCAAATCAGTTATGCATTTTAAAATTGGGTTGTTTGCCTTTGCATTGTTGAGAATTCTTTAGATATTCTGAATGTAAGTCTGTTATATGTGATTTACAAATATTTTCTCTCATTCTGTGGTTGTCTTTTCACTTTGTGTCCTTAGAAGCACAGAACTTTTAAGTGTAATGAAGTCCAATTTATCTACTTTTTCTTTGTTTGCTTGTGTTTCTGGTGTTATAACCATTGCCTAATGCAAGGTCACAAAGATTTATACCTGTTTTTTTCTAAGAGTTGTATAGTTTTAGTACTTATATTTAGGCCTCTGATCCATTTTAAGTTAATTTTTATACAGTGTGCGGCGAGAGTCTAACTTCATTCTTTTGCATGTGGATATCCAATTGTCCCAGCATCATTTGTTGAAAAGACTATTATTTCCCCCATTTAATTGTCTTGACACCTTTGTCAAAAATCAACTGGCCCTAAATGTGGGGGTTTAATTCTGGACCCTCAATTCTATTTCCTGGATCTATATGTCTTTCTTTACACCAGGACTGTCCTGATTACTGTAGATTCATAGTAGGTTTTGAAATCAAGAAATGTGAACCCTCCAACTCTTTTCTTCTTTTCTAAGATTGTTTTGGCAATTAAGTTATTCTTAAGTCTTTCAAATATATTCCAAATTTTGTTTAAATATGTTATGCATTTTCATATCTTTAATATAAAATATGCTACTATTATGAATGAGCTGGATCTAAAAATACATTTTAAATAATCATAAATGAATTCAAAACTTGCATATTATCATACTATCATGACATTTTCATTAACATTTTATTGTTTCTTCAATATCAGTGATTAAAATTAGTATTTATGTGGAATCTATGTACTTAGATTTTCAACAATTTGAAAAAAAAGTAATTAAGTATAGCAAAGGATTTACTTTACTTTCCTCATAAGTGTCTTAAAATAAATAATCTCCCTAGAGTGAAAATGTTATACTTCCTCATCAGCAATGAAACTCAGCTATGAAAACACAATGCTATACTTACCACATTATCACTCAGTTTAATATCCTCAGATATTTCATTAATGCATTCAAAAAACCAACACTTACTAAGCACCCACTATTGGCGAGGAAGAATTAATATTAGTGCTTCTAAGTGAAATGTGCTATAATTTAATTTACTAAAATATAAAACCAACTATTCTTTTTCTTATTTGGTTTTCTCTTTGACTTCTCAAAAAAGCATGGGTTTTGGTACTCCTGGCAGAATAATTTCACAGATACATATGTAGAGAAAAGAGTGAAAAATGAACAAACTAGAACTGACATGTATAGACTTAAATGTTCCTTCAAAATAGGTAATGAGTAGGACTAATTATACAGAATCTAAATACTATATAAAAAATATTTTAATGTGAGTAAATGGAAAAACTAAAGAAATGACAAGCTTTTCTATGGTTGGTTTGTGGTTCAGATCCCTCTCTTAAATTCACACTGGTTGGAAGAAAAGAATTATGGCAAGGGAGTCCTAACAATTTCTACAAAGCATATAAACTTTTTTTCTATTCTTTATTAATGTCTTAAATATTTCAACACGCAAAAATACAGAGAATATATGTAGTCTATCTACATATCTATGAATATAAATACTTGTGTATCCACCACCCCAATAGAAACATTTTCTCATATTTGCTCCAGATTAATTACAAATACAATTCAAGCCCTCTCCATGCCAGCCTCAATCTTGCTCCTTTCCCTCCCATTCCTTCTCCAAAAGTAAATATTAACCTGAATTTGATGCTTATTATTCCCATGCATGTCTTTATACTTTCATTATTTGTACGTATGCATCCATTACTTTATAGAAATTACATATGTTTTATATGTTCATAACCTTTTTGGTTTTTTTACCTCAACATGGTGGGGAGATTTATCCATGTTTTAACCTGAGCTCTCTCTTAGTTCATTCTCTTTCATATAATTATAGGACTATACCAAATTTATTTAGCCTTTCTGCAGGTGTTTTCACAATTCAAATGAGTGCTATAGTAAACATTCTCATACAGCAGGGGGTAGCTGGTAAGAGCATCAACTCTGGAAACAGCTGGCTTGAGTTTGGATCCCACCTCTGTCATGTATTAAGCTGTGACCTTGGGCAAGTCTTAATCCTTCTGCGTCCCAATTTCTCCATCTGTCATATAGGGATATTAACAATATCTAGTCCTCATAGACATTATTATGGAGAATAAAAAGTTCATACATGTAAAGCTTGTACAACAGTACGCAGTGTTTTTATGTGGTTGACCCTGCAAAACAGAGCTAGTTCAAAAAACGGGAAAATCCCAACGATATCAAGAAACGTCTAAAAGTGTATTTCAATGCTTCCTATCTAATACATATCTAATACCACTTCCCCTTGCTAGCAGACAGTGGACTCTCCCTCTCTGGAAATCAGGCAGCTGCCTCCCCTGGGTAGACATCTCTCATGATGATACTCAAATTCAAGATCTGCCCCCACCTTCCCTCATGGCTTCTAGTCTAATAACCAGGGTTACCTCATCATTACCTGAATACAGAAGTACTGTCCTTGCTTCAATAGGAAACTAAATACTCATTAAGAAGCTACAGGACCTAGCTACTGGCAGAAACCACAAGAATGTGCCTGTGATGGTGTGATATAGTAAGAAATGCATATTTTGGTCTTCATTTCTGGTTCCTGGCTAGAGCTCCGAAACAAATGAAAGGAGCATCTTTTGTTAGTCACAATATACCCCTTTAAACCACACCTGAATGTATGTTAATGAGGTGACTTTTGGAAAGCCTCTAAAGATGAAGGGCTAGTTGTTAGGAAAACCAATCATGATTAGAGGGTAGGAACTCCCAGCCTCACCACCAGGGAGGGAAGAGGGGCTGGAGATTGACTTAATCACATTGGCCAATGATTTACTCAATCATACAATTTACTTCATTGTAATGAAGCCTCCATAAAAACCCAAAAAGACAAAGTTCAGAGGACTTCCAGGTTGGTGAACAAGAACGTGTCCATGTGCTGGGACAGTGGTGTACCCCAACACTCCACTGGAACAGAAGCTCTTGTGCTGGGGACGCTTCCAGACCTCATCCTATGTATCTCTTCATCTGGCTGTTAATTTGGATCCTGTAATATAGCACTTGTAATAAATCAGTAATCTAGTAAGTAAACTGTTCCTGAGTTCCGTGAGCCCTTCTAGCAAATGACAGAACCCAAGGCTTAAATAGCCTGAGAAAAGTACAGTGCTGTGAAAGTGGGTTTATTTTCAGTTTCATCAATACGAAAAAATACAAAATTCACTAATCCCATAACCTGATATATTTAAAGTGTGACACTGGCCTTAAAGACACTGGTCTTTCATACTAAGGGAATAAGCTAATTTGAATCAATATAAATGAAATTTAAATAGACATATAATAGTTTAAATAAGTTATCAGGCAATGACCATACTGTGTTTCATAAGGATGCACATTTTCCTAATTTTTGAAAAAATTATGTAATTCTATTATGAAAGTTTATTGTAACAAAAAAAATCAGTTCTTTACATGTCTCATTTCAACAGCTAGTTTAAAATAGCATGCTTCATACATGTATGATAAGAGAAAAAGACATGTATTTTAATGTAGTAAGCAATGGTTAATGAATTTCATTTAACTAAAAAGCAACTTCTTGACATTTTTTTCCACTTACATTTAAGCATTTTTAGATATAATTTATATATGAAATGCACATATCTGAAGTGTGAAATTTGATTAGTTTTGACAAATGCATACACCCACATAATCTGTACCCTTAACAAGACACAGAATATGTCCATATTTGTTTAAAAGCTGAAACAAAGTCAAACAAAAAGTTCCTTTGTAGCTTCTTACTAGTCAATCCCCTTGGAAACAACGATTGATTAAATTTCTCTTTAACAGATTAGTTTACTTATTACAGAATTTAATATAAATGTAATCATATAATAGACACTGTTTTGTGACTTGCTTTTCTTTTTGGTAGATTCCTCAGGATTTTCTAAATACACAATCATGTCATCTGCAAATAAACACAGTTTTACTTCTTCCTTTGAAATCTGATATATTTTATCTTTGTTGTATTCCCAATCTTAGGGGGAGAACTTTCAACATTTCACTAATAGGTTTTTTGTAGGAAAAAAGTTTCCTTCTTTTCCTTGTTTTCTCAAAAATTTTAAAAATCATGAACAGGTGTTGAATTTTATCAAAATTATTTTTGAGCATCTATTAAAATGACAGTTCTTTAGTCTGTTATGGTGAATTGCTTTGATTTTTATATGATAAACTAACCTTGTATCCCTTGGACAAGCCCCACCTGGTAATAGAGTATTATCCTTTTTACATATTGCTGGATTTGATTTGTAAATACTTTATTATGAGGAATATTGATCCGTAGTTTTGAGGGTTTTTTTGTAAAATCTTATCTGATTTTAGTGTCTAAATTATAGAAGCTTCCTAAAATGAGCTGGGAAGTATATCCTCTTCTATTTTTTGAGAAAAAAGAATAATATTGGCAATATTTCTTCCTTGTAAGTTTAACAGAATTCATTAGTGAAGATCCTTATGGGAAATACTTAAATTATGAATTCAATTTTTTAAATAAATATAGAAAATTCATCAGATTTCTATTTTTCCTGAATCCGTTTTGTTTTTTAAGAAATGTACCCATTCATTTCAACTGCCAAATTCATTGGCATAAAGTTTTACATAATATTTCCTCATTACTCTTCTAAGGTCTGTAGTATCAGTAATGATATCCTCTCTTCTACTGTTGATATTGATAATTTGTGTTTTCTCACTTTTTTCTCGGTAAGCCTTACTACAGTTTCATCAATTTTATTAATCTTTTCACCAAACCAGCCCATAGCTTTACTGATTTTCTTTTTGTTCATTTTCTATTTCACTGACTTCTAGTTCTTACTTTTTTTCTATTTTCTTTGGGATTAATTTGCTTTTTGTCTATCCTCCCAAAGTAGAAGCACAGATCACTGGTTTTATAGATTTCTTCTCTTCTAATACAGGCATTCGACTATAAACTTCCCCCTAAGGGCCAATTTAGCTGCATCTCACAAATTTTTATGCTGTTTTCAATATCACTCTGTTCAAAATGTTTTCCAATTTCCCTATGACTTCTCTTTGACCCAAGGGTAATTTAGAAATGTGTTATTTAATTTCAAAATATTTGTATATTTGTGTAGCTATTTTTAATGATTTCTGAATTAATACCATTGCTATCAGAGAACATACTCCGCATAATTCTGTCCATCTACTTCTATAAGTCTAGTTTATGCATTCTATAATTTAAAAGCTGAAATGAAGCCAAGCGATCTTCTAATGAAACTAAAAAACCCACTGTATGAATTTTAACTGTAAGTCAGACATCAGTATATTTATTCTAATACCTCATTTCCTCAGTTTCTCTGTTATATAGTTTCTGCTATTTTTATAAGAAAGAGGAGTTAGACAAGTGTAAGTTGGAAGTTAATACCTTAATAAAATCCAAAAAGGTAAAAAAATGAGGAAAAGGTAGTCAATTTCAAATTAACTATATTGAATACTGTTAGATGGAAAATACATTCTGAATATGATGGTAAAAGACACCACCTATGGGAGCAACTGCTATCAAGGCATAGTAAGTTTCCAAAGTCAAAAGTTTTCTAGAAATAGATACATATGTGCGTGTGCACAAAACACACATACATGCACATGCCTGCACACACACACGTACACACACATTACATACCTACTCTATCTCCAGTTTAATGGTTTCTACTGGTTCCTACCGAAGGATTTGTGATGGCTGAGGAATCAGATTAAAAATAACATTCTCACTCTCATTTCATCAAGACTTACCTTAAGGTACATTCCATTTCCACTTCAGAGGGTATAGAAAGAACGCGGAAAATGTATTTGTCAACTAACAAAGAAAAACTATCTCCAGGATTCAAATAGCACCATAGATTTGTCTTCAATGGTAAGAGCTGACTCTTCTCTGAAGACTGATAAAAACACGGATTTGTGTGTATCTAACAAATTAAAAAAGAATATAATTAAATGTTAAAAAGAAGATAATACAATAATGTTGTAACTCAAAATTATGACAAAAATACAATTAAATATGAATTCACAACTTTGGTATCAAAACAATTTAAGCATAAACTTAGACTTAAAAGTTTAATAAATCTAACTCTTATGAGTACCATAATTATTATTTATATATAAAAGAGAAAAGAAGCTATGGTATACCTCCCATTTCTCCAGGAATCAAAGAAAAAAAGCAAAGTTATCAACTAACTGGTTAAAAGAGTCTTCTATTTTGCTTAATAGAGACAACTGGACATCACAAGAAGAAACATGAAAAATAATTCTTAGTATGGAAAAACTGAGTCCCCCAACTTCCATATCCAAAACGCACTAATTTCCTGACAATGGCTAGTTTCCTTACCATTTATTTTCTCCTACTAATTTCTTACTACAATTAAAAAATAAGAAACTACAATGCTATGGTTTGAATGTGTCCCCCAAAGTCCATTTGTTGGAAACTCCAACCCTAAGGCAACAGTGCTGACAAGTAGGACCTTTAACATACAGGTCATAAGGGAAATGTCCTCATGAATGGATGGATTAATGACATTATCACAAGAGTGGATTCATGATCTCGGGAGCAAGTTTGCTATCTCAAGAGCGTGTCTGTCATAAATGCAAGTTTGGCCCTCTCTTGCTTACTCTCATGCATGCTCTCTCTCCATGTAATGCCTTCCACCACGTTATGATGCAGCAAAAAGGCTCTCACCAGATGCGGCCCCGGCATTTTAGACTTCGCAGGTTCCAGAACGGTGAGCCAAATAAATGTCTGTTCATTATAAATTACCCAGCCTCGGGTATTCTGTTATTGTAGCACAAAATGAACTAAGACATATGGGAAGGAAGATTCTAATCAAATCTCTCAAACAAACAACATGGCTTTCTTTCTACCTCCTGAAAGAGGAATCGTCTTATTTGTTTAAACGAAACTCCCACTATGAAGATCATCCACATTCAAATCAAAGTAGTAAACAGATCTCAAAGTTAGAACTATTGCAATATCCACTATTTTAAATTATGTTTGCCACTATTTCCATGTTAGCAAAGATAACGAGTTGCTTCAAAAAACAAAAAATACCTATTATGAGGTGCCTTAAAAATTCTAACCAGATTCAAGCTAAAATTGGCCATTTCCATAAGTCAAATAGTCTTTTTGTCATCAATATCACTGGGTTTTTAAAATAAATAAGCTTTAGGATATGACAAGGTAATCTACATAGTGCAGATCTTTGTGTGTGTGTGTGTGTGTGTTTTAAAGCACAATCTTATATAGAGCACCTATCTCTATTACCCTTCCTTCTATCTATTTCATCAGTTTAAATGAGACTTTTTCTGGAGATATCACAGCAAAGTAATTACCACCCTGGGAATGGACATATGCTGAGCAATAACAACAACAAAAAAGACACATCTTTGAAGCTAGAATGAATATAATCCACCTGGTTCTGACCATTCAATTTCATGAGAATCTGGCCATACATACATCATATTTCTATCCTTTAAATCTGTGTTACAAGAAAGCAGTAAAATAAAACTTGGAGATAAAGAGCAGAGGTAGAAATTTAAAACAGAGACGACACAAATTTGGTCGGCCATTATTTTATTAGTCAAACTATACACAAGATTGCATAAGAATGGAGATGCAGTGTGATTTATGCAATATTATATTCCTAAAAAGAGTAGTGAATGTTTGATTTTTAAATTCAAGTTATAATTTTAACAATGTTTACAAATCTTTCACCATGCTAACAGCCACTCCTAATTTCTCTCTCTCAAAGCTGTCCTCTGGCTCTTGGCAGGTTAAGCTTTTGAGTGCAACAAGCACATGACAAATCCACAGGCTCTGAGCTTGTGTCCACTGCTGAACTTGGGAATCATGCCCTGTATTCCTCATCCTTTTGGGCAAAGGCTCCCTTTCCTTGAGTATGTCATGGTCATCAGAGTCAGGAATGTTGAACTAACAAGAGAAGCAAGAGTCAGAACAGGAATCCACATAGCTTTGGTCTGAACTCTGAATATTCTTTAAGTGAGGCTTGCTTCTGATTATAGGCTAAGGCCATGTTTTTATTCATGAGCATTAAAAAAATTCAGATGAGTCTCTAAACGTTAAATACTGACATAGTCCCAAACTTACAAAGGCTAGGATGTTAAATACAATGGCATAAAATTGTAAGAGTGGAAAAGGTAAAATGCTTAAGGAAACTACATTTCTTTACAAAGGTATCACAAACCTAAAGATAACGCAATATTCTGTTTGAGTATATTTTCCTCAGTGGAAAGAACTTAATATTTAAATTATAGTTGGTTAAACATTGATAGTCAGCAAATCCAGCCACAAAGAAAGTGAACCCATGAGTATGGTCCATGATCATCTTTTCCTTTTCCTAAAACTGTTCATACAGGAGATTCCAAAATGAAGAATAAAAATGACATTAAAGTCTAATGTTTGATCCTCTAACGTAAACCTAAATTCACATTACTCACTGAATAAGTTAAAAAAATCAATGTCAAACTACGATACGCTCCAACTAAAATGCTACACATACATGAAGTCCAAAAGGTAGTTTTTAAAAAGTTACAAAGTATACAAAAATCTAACAATATTAATAAACAAAAAGGAAGATTACACACCAAAAAATTAGGAATGAAAACAATGACATAATTACATAAAAAATAAAAGTTTTGAAAAATAACAGAATACTGTAAATACTTTATAGCAATACATTTGTAAATATGGCCAAAATAGACAATTATCTAATAACACCAAATAGATTTTTTTAAAGTATGTTTATGTGTATGTATGTGCAGCCTGTTTGAAAGTATTTAATTTTTTTTTCTTTTTTTGAGACAGAGTCTTACTCTGTTACCCAGGCTGGAGCGCAGTGGCGTGATCTCTACTCACTGCAACCTCTGATTCCAGGTTCAAGCAATTCTCGTGCCACAGCCCCCTGAGCAGCTGGGACTACAGGCGCCCGCCACCACAACTGGCTAATTTTTGTATTTTTAGTAGAGATGGGGTTTCACCACCTTGGCCAGGCTGGTCTCAAACTCCTGGCCTCAAGTGATCTACCTGCCTTGGCCTCCCAAAGTGCTGGGAATACAAGCGTGAGCCACTGCACCTGGCTTGAGAGTATTTAATTATTACAGAAAGGAGATTGAATTGGACTTGTAATATTTCAAAAGTACAATCAATAATTAAAAATCTTTTCAATCCCTGCCAAAACCCCTTTTTCTGAATATTCAAACTTTTCTTCATACCACAAAAGTGTTAAGGATCCCCAACTGCTTCATGAGACAAGTTTAACTTTGATTCTAAAAGCAAACAAGGGCAGAAAAATATTGGCAAACCCAACCTCACTGTGATTAAAAGATACAACTACCTACACGAGAGACGTAATGTTGGTGTGTGCCTTTTAACAAATTCATGAGATTATAAATTCAAGCTTCAATAGGTTATGCTATAACTTTAGAAGTGGTGCAAAGGATGCATTATCCCTGCAAAAAATGGAACTAAAATACAAATCAATTTCCTACAGCTTTCTCTTAGAGTTATCATTAAATATTAAAGAATGATAGATGTATACCCCCCAAAAGCACCTTAATTTTTTCAGTGTTTTTTTTTTAATTTTTAATTTGGATAGCTTTTTTTTAACAAAATAAGTTGAGGAAGGCTATTATTATAGGATTTTCCAGATATTTCACAAGTACACTTTTAATTTCAAGAGAAGAAAAACAATCTCAATTCAAGAACTTTGTGCAATAAAAAAAACCACAAGCACCCAAAGACGTATATTTTGAGGGTCAATAACAAAAGGCAAAAAAGAAAAACTACAACTTATATGTAGTTATAGAGCTACTGCCTCAATCATCCAAGACCCCAAGTAAGATTTTATTAAAATGAAATAAAAGCACTGACAGCTATGAATTTACCCTGAGGGCATAACCAATCACTGGTGATACAGTCATTTACAAAGAACATCATCATCAGTTTGCCTTTGTAATGTCTTTTCTCTCTGCTGATACTAGGCTGTAGATTAAATTTAAATGACATATAAAAAAGCTAACATCCTCTCCTCATGAGCTAGCATCATCTCCTCATGCACCATTTCCAAGAACTGCTGGAGAGCTATAGCATTTTTTGTAGGAGACATATCAGAGGGAAAAAGGCAGAAAGTCATCCAATGTAAAAGTACAAATTAGTAATTGCCCTAATTGCATTCAACTCTCCTTGTCAAAGCTATTTTTTTATTTGGTAGTAAGTTTAGATTTCCAAGTTAAAGAAAAGCAGAAAAACATTTAATCGCTTAAATATAATTTGAGGTATGCAGTATACAGATGGGATCATCATAACAAAACATTTGCTATATTCATTTATGTAATTTTACAAATATTTTTAACTAAAATTTCCCTCTTGACATTTCATTACACTTGTATAGATACCTTGCTTTAGTAGATCAAAGAATTTGTGACTGATGAGGGAACAGAGAATAAGTGATATTTAATAAACATTAAGATAAAATGAATGAACCAGAAGTCACTTGTCCATCTCATTCTGATTTTCAAGATCTTTAAACTTCCACTAACAATTAAAATCAGTGTTAGAAATTCTCTAAATGTCTTTAAATTGCACCTTGTAGACAGTGCAGCTTCAATAAGCTGCTAAATAAATACATCAATCTATTTCAAGATAATGGGCATTTTATTGAAACTATATTAATATAAACAAGGTTATTAGCTAGTCAGGTTTCTAATGTGCAACTCAAGTCTTTAGCCCATTTTTCTACTGGATTCTTTATTTTTTTCTCATTGATTAAAGGCATCTGTCATATGTTTTGGATAGCACTCCTGATATAGCTCGGATATGTGTCACTGGCCAAATCTCATGGTGAACTGCAATCCACAATGCTGGAAGTGGAGCCTGGCAGGAGGTGCTTGGATTATA